AGGAACACGTATGTGAGGATGCTGTTCATTGACTACAGTTCAGCATTCAACACTATTGTGCCCTCCAAGCTCGTCATCAAGCTCAGGGACCTCGGGCTCAACAGCGCCCTCTGTGACTGGATCCTGAACTTCCTGACAGGCAGACGCCAGGCAGTGCGGATGGGGAACATCACATCCTCCAGCTGGACCCTCAACACCGGAGCCCCCCAGGGTTGCGTGCTCAGCCCTCTCCTCTACTCCCTGTTCACGCACGACTGCATTGGCCACATACAGCTCCAACACCATCATCAAGTTTGCTGACGACACCACCGTCATCYGCCWGATCACAGACGGCGACGAGACGGCCTACAGAGAGGAGGTCAGAGCCCTGACATCTTGGTGCCAGGACAACAACCTCCATCTCAATGTCAGCAAAACCAAGGAGCTGATTGTGGATTATAGGAAGAAGCAGAGAGATGGACACGCCCCCCTCACCATCGATGGGACTCCTGTGGAGAGAGTCAGCAGCTTCAGGTTCCTCGGGGTTCACATCACTGAGGACCTGACATGGACTCATCACACCATAGTTATCACAAAGACAGCTCGTCAGCGGCTCTTCTTCCTCCGCAGGCTGCGGAGGTTCAACATGGACTCCAGGATACTCTGCAACTTCTACAGATGCACCATCGAGAGTATCCTGACCGGATACATCACGGCCTGGTACGGCAGTTGCACCGCCCTCAACCGTAAGACTCTACAGAGGGTGGTGAAAACTGCTCAGCACATCACCAGGACGGAGCTACCATCCATGGAGGACCTCTACACCAAGCGTTGTAGGAAGGATACAGGATACTAAAAGACCCCCATCACCCCAGCAACAAACTGTTCTGTCTGCTGCCGTCTGGCAGACGGGACCACAGCTTCCGGAACAAGACAACAAGACTCAGGGACAGTTTTATCCCACAGGCTATAAGACTGTTGAACTCCTGAGCTCTGTGAAAGTCACTACATCTGTTTATAGCAACATATTAATTTACACATTATAATATTCCTACACACAAAGAACTATATTTATTTATTTAGTTTATAATAATTCTCATTCTGCTACATCTTTCTATTCATCATATTTCTAAGCTACATAAAAATATAATGAGTGCAATAATTCATATCTGTTCATACCTCCCTATAACTGCTGCTAAATCATGACTGCACATGTTTATATTCCACCTTAGCACCTTATAATGTTTTATTATCTTACACACTGGAACTTTAAGATGGTAGTATCATTAAAGATGGCTAAATATATTGGGAGGAACAACACAAGGGAGTGTAGGGGATATGCCGCTACTCTCCACACCCCATTCTACCCTCATGCTGTTCTTAACATTTACTTAACCACTGTAACTGATATCACATTCTCTGTCTGTCTCTGTCTGTTGTTTCCCATCATGCTCTCTGCCTTTTTTCCTGTCAGTGGCACAAACTGTGTTGCCATGGCAACCAGGGTAAATGAGAGATGGAGCCCTTAGGTAGGAAGACAGGGTGATGGGGGTTGGTGAGAACATGGCTGTGTGAGCATGTGTGTGTGCATATATGCATGCTGGTGAGAGGGGTGTGACTTGTGCAGACCACATACATACACAATAATAGGCTTTAATGCTGTGTGCAGTCCATCTGGGGAAACGAAGGCCAATGAGACGTGACAGATCAGCCAGAGATGGTGGCTGATATGAAGACGGAGACCTGAGCACCCAGTCCACCCAAACACGTTTAACTCAGCTGATCGACATCATATAACACAGTAATGTACATCTTACTCAAATTCTAACTGTGTTTTATTGTTTGTACATCATTTACACAGATGTTGTGTGGATGTGTGTCAGTGTGTGTAAGCATGTTTTCATTGCTCAAAGCTTTCCCCCCTTCATTTCTAAACCTCTCTGCACAGCCCTGGAGAGATATGTGGTAGCCATGTGGCTCAGGCTAATGGACAATTAATGAGCTTGAAAACAGCTTGGCTAGTACATAAGTGCCTGCAAATTAAGCCATTTATCATACTATGTGTGTACAAACGTGCATGCAGAAATACAGTACATACACGTAGGCCTGAGGGTTATCACAAAGTGTACACAAATTAAGTATGAGAGTTACCTCAATATTGAAAATGAAAAGCTGAATCAAACTTTCTTAGATTACTACTGTAATTAGGGTAGTTTTCTTGATACCTAAAAGTGTATACCTCCACCGGACCCAACAGTCTCCTTTAAATCCACATTTAATTCACCTGATCCAGATTTGTACTTGGATCTGCATGAATTTCACACACACATGAATATCAGTCCCCTAAACATGCTGGATTTGTCATCGAGAATCATGAATGATTTTCCGAGAAATCAATGAAACTGCTGTGAAACAGACTGTCTCCCAATTGTAAAAAAAAGTGAATAAAATTCAGAATGCATTGGTTGTGTCTTCTGATCAGGTCAAGTTCAAGTGGTTGATTGGTAAATATTTTTGTGGGTGGATTTACTCTCATAACGAGGTGATTTACACCAAGTTTTAAGACTAAATGTCTAGCTTAGCCACGTCCGGTCAACTAAGGAGTGTTAAAGCTGTTTAGTTGTTAATATTTGTTGAGATTGTTAAACTGTGTAAT